TGAGGCAGACAGACAAGAAGACAGCTAGTGAGGCAGACAGACAAGAAGACAGCTAGGGAGGCAGACAGACCACAAGACAGCTAGGGAGGCAGACAGACCACAAGACTGCTAGGGAGGCAGACAGACAAGAAGCCAGCTAGGGAGGTAGACAGACAAGAAGACAGCTAGTGAGGCAGACAGACAAAAAGACAGCTAGTGAGGCAGACAGACAAAAAGACAGCTAGGTAGGCAGACAGATAAGAAGACAGCTAGGGAGGTAGACAGACCGCCAGACTGCTAGGGAGACAGACAGACAAGAAGACAGCTAGTGAGTCAGACAGACAGACAAGAAGACAGCTAGTGAGTCAGACAGACAGACAAGAAGACAGCTAGTGAGTCAGACAGACAGACAAGAAGACAGCTAGTGAGTCAGACAGACAGACAAGAAGACAGCTAGTGAGTCAGACAGACAGACAAGAAGACAGCTAGTGAGTCAGACAGACAGACAAGAAGACAGCTAGTGAGTCAGACAGACAGACAAGAAGACAGCTAGTGAGTCAGACAGACAGACAAGAAGACAGCTAGTGAGTCAGACAGACAGACAAGAAGACAGCTAGTGAGTCAGACAGACAGACAAGAAGACAGCTAGTGAGTCAGACAGACAGACAAGAAGACAGCTAGTGAGTCAGACAGACAGACAAGAAGACAGCTAGTCAGTCAGACAGACAGACAAGAAGACAGCTAGTGAGTCAGACAGACAGACAACAAGACCGCTAGTGAGTCAGACAGACAGACAAGAAGACAACTAGTGAGTCAGACAGACAGACAAGAAGACAGCTAGTGAGTCAGACAGACAGACAAGAAGACAGCTAGTGAGTCAGACAGACAAGAAGACAGCTGTTAGGGAAATAGACAGACAAGAAGACAGCTAGGGAGGTAGAAAGGCAGGTAGACAGCTAGCTAGCTAGGAGTAAGGGTGTTTGCTTTGTGAGCCCAAAGAAGCCCGCAGTAGTGTACAGCCCTTTTCTCTCTAAGGGGTGGGTGTCTCTGTGCGATGAGGAAGCGAGCCAGTAACAATACTGCTCAGTATTGGGCTGCTCAGTCTATCATTGTATCTACATCGCTACCCTGGTCTGTGAAGTCGTATTATGGATCACATGTTTTATTGACAGGAGTTGAGATGGGCACAATGTCTGTGCCGTGGACTGGGTTTATCTGTCGTCGTCTATCGTCTCTGGCCGTGTGGGTGTGGTCCCACGGTTGCCAGTAGATGGGGTGTTGTTTCTACTGGGCAACGACATAGCAGAGGGCAGAGTGGTCCCGGTCCCAGAGGTTGTGGACAACCCAGATCCCGCCTACACTGGAACAGAGACAGACGGGTCAGTGTTTCCTGCGTGTGTTGTGACACGTGCGCAGGAAAGAAAAAGGAAGAACGTATATGATGTGTCATCCTTATATCAAGCTGTGTGTGATCCAGACCCACTGCCTCCCAACAAAAAGGACAAGTCTCCTCCACCTTCAGTCGAGCGCATACCTGAGGGGAGTGAGTTAGAGTTAGTAGAGTTGGTAGACACCATTACAAAGAGTAAGGTGATTGAGTGTCGGCAAAATGACGAAAGCCTGCAAAAATGTTTTGAGGCGGTAGATAAACCGTTTTCTAAACCATATGCAACATTGGATTCCTTAACTGGTCTGTTAGTAAGAAAATGGACTGCTCGACCTTCTGTGGGTGTCAGCGAGTGTGTTTACCAGGTTGTGTTGCCCACACTGTTTCGTCAGCAGGTGTTGTCGCTGGCTCATGACTACACGGTGGCAGGGCACCTGGGCATCCGGAAGACTTATGACCGTGTCCTCAGACACTTCTCTTGGCCTGGTCTGAAAAAGGATGTGATCAGGTACTGCAATGCTTGTAAGATCTGTCAGCTAGCAGGAAAACCAAATCAGGGGGTTCCTCGTGCTCCATTGTATCCAATACCGGTGGTGGGGGAACCATTTGACAGGGTTATGATCGACTGTGTAGGCCCTCTGCTAAAAACGAGGGCTGGCAACCGATTCCTGCTGACTATCATCAGCAAAATCACCACCAAAGCAGTAGTTAAAGGACTAATAAAGTTCTTTATCACTTTTGGGTTACCTAAGGAATTGCATTCGGACCAGGGGTCCAATTTCACATCATCCTTGTTTGCCTCGGTGAGGAGGTCATTAGCGATCACCCACCAAACGTCCAATGCCTACCACCCTGAAAGTCAGGGGGCGTTAGAATGATGGCATCAAACATTGAAAGGCATGCTAAAAAAACATTGCTTGTCTGCTCAGACGGACTGGGATGAAGGGCTACCTTTTGTTTTGTTCGCTATCAGGGAAACAACTCAAGAATCAACAGGATTCAGTCCAAATGACCTGGTGTTTGGTCACACAGTGCGGGGTCCCCCTACAAATACTGAAGGAACAATTGTTGGGTGACAAACAACATACTGTGACTATCGTGTTGGACTATGTGGCAAAGACACAAGAAAGATTGCATCTAGCCTGTGAATTAGCGAAGGAATGTCTTTCGGCAACACAGAAACGGATGAAGTAAAGGTATGACAAAAAGCAGTGAAGCGTGTGTTCCTCCCTGGAGATCAGGTGCTGGTGTTGTTGCCAGTACCAGGTTAATCGCTATCAGCGCAGTACTGTGGTCCATACACTGTGGAAAAGTGTGTTAGTGAGACAAATGACATGGTCAGGACTCCTGAGCGGAGGCACCCTTTACGCCGTTGTCATATAAATATGTTAAAGGAGTACTGAAATGGGGACAAAACCAAACCTGTACATCAAGTGGGGCCAGCCATAATGTTGCTCAAGGTCCGGTGGCTGGAGTGCTGGTCACAGAGGTTTGTCCTGAGGATGAATTAAGGAAACAGTCTGGTAATGTTTTGACCGGTGAAAGGTTAAACAATTCTGAAATGATCAATATGCTGCCGTCAGGATTTTGTGAATGGTCCTAATGTGGTGCAACTTGAGAAATGTCGTAAAGACGACTTAGCATTGCAGCACACTTCGACATTGTAGTGTCCAAAAATAGTGTAAAAAAAGAAATAAAGGCAACATTGATTGAGAAATTGGCTGAATTAAATGTTTTAGAGGTTTCAGGCAACCCTGAGTCATCTGTTGATGAAAGGTTACATGGTGCAGGTTCCCTAGAAGAACCAAAGACTCCCAGGGAG